CAACGTTTGTCTTGCAAAGAACTCAGAAAGACCACAACAGGTCAGGGGTACTGGTTGTAAGCATGTTGGTCTAAGGACATAGACAGACAAGGTTCTTCGGGTAAATCTGATAGCTTTTATTAGACCAACTAAAAGACAACAGGTCAGAATGTTTTTGACACTATGGATTCCTATTTGAAATCTCTGGGTTTATCTTGTGAAGCATGTGGAGGTGTTTGCACACTTAACAGTTCTAATATTGTGTAGCACTCTCCAGCACCCTCAAAAGTGTTGAGAATCACTGGTTGAGAATCACAGAGCTACAGCCTAAAAACTTTCCCCAGAGCATTTAATACTCTAACTGCAAAGGACTAAATGGACACACTGCAGGTTTTAATTGTGTGCTCTCAAAAGCATCATTTACCTCTAGCTGTTAGGGTAAAGTGGAAGGGAAAGAGATTTCATGGTTTTGTGAAGGTGGTGCCCTGTCCTTTTGGCTGTTTGATTTCTGTTACATTGTGCATTTCTGGAAAGAGTTAAGCTGCAGAGATAGAGTTCAACTGGGGGGAAGGGGAGAGGTGCCAAGGTTCATTGTGGCTTGACAAGTAATCACTGGCTTTTGTAAGTACTTTCTCCACTTTCAATCTAGCTGTATTGCTTGAACTTGTCTGCATTTACAAATATTATCACTACATTGCTAAAAGAGGTCATCCCCCCTTCAGGCTTCCTTTCCTGGGCAAACTTAAACATTTTCAGAGGTCTTGGGTTAGGGAGAAGAGAAATGTGTTTGGAGGTCAGGTACTGGTGGCAGTGCTCCCTTAGGTGCTATAGAGGTAAGAGAGGGAGTGCAGGCAGAAAGGCATAGGCTTTGGGGGCTGGGATGGTCCCGCTAGCCGGCAATGGAAGCTGAGGAAAGCCAAGCAGTTCCATTGGTCAAGGCCAGTTGTGTGGGGGCACTCAAAAGCAGGTGTCAGGAGGAATGGCTGATTTGGAGGGTGATTGTTTTGCTAGTCAGTAGCTGGGGGGGCAGGGCAGAGAGAAACAACACTACTTGCCTGGCAGGGGAAATACTATGACTACCAAGGTGGTTTTCGTACTGGCAAGGTATAATTTACTGTGTCATTCTTTGGCTGGGCATTTATCCTTCTCAACACAGCTGGCTGTTTCGGTGCCCTTTTGGGAGGTCAGCTTGGTGTGCCACTTCTAGCTTGCAAGGGTAATGAATGCTCTCATCTGTCATGACTTGATGTTTCACATTCTGTTAAGGTGGGGGTGGTCTCATACCCTTTGACTTCAGCCCTCAGCCAGACCTTGCGCCATCCCTTGGGGATCTGCCTCCCCTATACCCTGCCTGGCACCAGCCCGATGTTGAAGTTCCTTGTCTGATGGGTTCAGGTAACTAGCCGTAGCACTCAAACAACAAACACAATATCCCAAAACAACAACAAAAAACCTATAAATGAGCAGTCCCTCTACAACAGAGGAGCGGATGCCCTTGTCCATGATGTCCCCCCTCCATGGGGCAGAAAAGGGGCTGAGCAAACAGCTGCTATGCTCAGTGGCCCATCTACTCACGGTTCTGATGCACTCTTATGCTTTCTCTTTCAGGCTTCTCATCATCCCGAATCCAATGGTTTGGTCCTGTCTGCCAGGCCAGCCCTTCAGGTAAATTCTCTGGCTCCTTTGAGCCAGTGTTTGGGGGTCACTGCTGCTGCTCAGGCTTCCACCAATCACCTCTACCAGGGAACACTGTGCCTGTGCTTCTTTCTCTCCTACCCCAGGAGCTCACTTCAGGTCCTCCCAGGGTTTCCCTCTGGGCTGTTCTTGTCTCCCTGCTTGGGTTCCACCCAGTCAATCGGCATTGGCACACACTCATAAAGCATGCCCATATCAGGGCTGAGGCTTCCTCCTCATGACTCAATGTTGCCGGCTGTGTCTCCTGCCACTGTTCAGACTACTTGTTGTTCTCTGGTAAGTCTCTTCTAGTGGCAAGTGTCTTTTCTCTGCCACACAGGGGAAAACCACTTTCCTGGCAGGGGGTAGAACCTTAACCAAGGTAATGCATAGTTAGCTTCCTGCTTTCGCTTCCAGTGGGAAGATCTTGGCTATACGCCAACTTTATAGAAATGAAAGACTCCTCCGTAGCTTGCTCCTGCAGCCATACAGCTGAGGGCAAGTGAAACTCAGGGGCATCTGAACCCCAAGCCTCTGGGCTCGGGCCTGCATGTGGGATGTCTGCCAAAGGATTTGAAGCATCTGAAGCCCCAGGCAGAGGTGGAGGATGCTTGCTGGTAGTAGGGCCACATATGGTTCTCAAATGACAGCACACTTACACAATGGGGAACTCCCTACTCGAGAGCACGGAGGCAGAAAGAGATCTTGGAGTCATTATTGACTCCAAGATGAACTTGGGCCGACAATGCGAGGTCATGGTTGGCAGGGCTAACCGGACCTTGTCGTGCATCCACAGGTGCATCTCGAGTAGAGCCAAGGAGGTGATCCTCCCCCTCTATGCGACGCTGGTCAGGCCACAGCTGGAGTATTGTGTCCAGTTCTGTGCGCCCCATTTCAAGAGGGATGTGGACAACATGGAGAGGGTCCAGAGGAGGGCCACCCGCATGATCCGGGGACAACAGGGCAGACCCTACAGTGAGAGACTGCGGGACCTGAACCTATTCAGCCTCCACAAGAGAAGGCTGAGGGGGGACCTGGTGACCGTCTATAAACTCACTAGGGGGGACCAGAAGGGTTTGGGGGAGATGCTGTTTCCCCTAGCGCCCGCTGGCATAACAAGGAGCAATGGGCACAAGTTGATGGAGAGGAGGTATAGATTGGACATCCGCAAGAACTACTTCACAGTTAGGGCGGCTAGGAGCTGGAACCAACTTCCAAGGGAAGTGGTGCTGGCCCCTACCCTGGGGGTCTTTAGGAAGAGGCTGGATGCCTACCTGGCTGGACTCATTTGAGTCCCGTTTTCCTCTTTTGGGGTTTTTTGTTGTTCTCCCGCCCTGGCGGGGGGTCGGGCTAGAAGATCTACTAGGTCCCTTCCGACCCTTAATCTATGAATCTATGACTCATGGATTTGGAATTGATTTGGCTGATGTGACTTGGGACACAAACAATTTTCCTTTAAAAAAAGAGTGAGAAACAACACTATTTCAGAGGACAGATGGCTCTACCTATTCTCCTGTGGGGATGGGACTAGATAATGGCCAATGAGAGGCATATGACCTCCCAGGGTGGCTGCTAGGATAGCCATCAACTAGTGGGAGAGAAGGTTGAGAAAATGAGAAGATAACAGGGTGTTTGGATCAGGGAAAATGATCATGCAGGGAAAGGAAAATTAATGAGGATGAGAGTGGATTGGAGAGTCAAATGTGAGGAAACTGAGAATGGGGGAGTGCGGCTTAGTTAGTGACTGAGAAAAAAAAGCAAGCATGGTTAGAGGTAGTAATTGTGTAATAATGGTATAAAAATGAATACTGATCACTCAAGCTGGTCATTGTGATGCTGCATGTGCTTTATATGGAGGATTGTGAGAAGCGGAGAGGGTGGTGAGTGCAGTTTGGGGCAGTGATTAATGTGGGATTGGGGAATGTGGATTAGGCCAGTGTCAGCACCTGAGTGAAAAGGTGACCATGGCTTGGTGCCTGACCATGTAACTGTATGTGATGTGGTAAGCCTGGCCCTTGTGGTATAATAGGATTGATAACAGGGAAACCACTGTTTGAAGAGACAGTTGTAAGGGAAGAGATGAACATGCCCCAGGGTGGTGAATGCCATGAAAAAAGGCAGTAGTGGAAGCGGGGAAAGGGCAGAGGGCGTTGCTCAGATTTCGTGCCTGTAATTTAATGGAGAATAATAGACAACCTAGGGAAGCTGTGGACTCTCCATCACTGGAGGTGTTCAAGAAGAGGTTGGACAGACACTGGTTGTGGATGATCTAGATATAGCTATGCCTATTTTCTACCATGGGTATTTCCCATGCTTCTGGGCTTGCTGGTTGTTCCCTCCTCCCCCCACACCCCCCGCTATGTGTTACCAGGTTTTTAAGCCTCCCCAGAGGCATTGGGTGTTGATTACAGCCAAGGCTGGGGACTTCAATTGGGGTGTGCTGATTCTCCTGCTGGGAGCAAAGCTGGAGGTTTCTGGCTAAAGGGCCTTGCTCCTCTGCTTAGGTTGCAGTCATGAGGGGATTTTCTCTTACAGTCAGACAGGTAGGGACTGTGGGGTTTTTTCCCTGTAACAGGGGACTGGCCTTCTTTCAGGACATCTCTTGAGGGTACATTGACAGCACTTCATAGAAGCACCATGTTGGCTGCTGTGGCTCCTCTGCTTTGCCTGTGGCAGGTCAGGGTGTTAGGTCTGTGTTGTCAGGATTGGGGGCCGTTTTAGGCACTGGTAACAACACATGGGTGGGGAAGTATATGGCAGCCCGTGTCCCTGCCAGATTTCTGTGCCGACACCGGCGCGTGGGCGCTGGGCTGCAGTCTGGCCAGACCCAGCACCATGTGGCAGCACCGAGCTGTGCCCCCGTCAGCACTTACTCGTCGTCTATGGCCCGTAGGCAGTTTGGAGCAGGGCTGCACGGGCCGGCTTGGGTGAGGATGCCCCTGCCTCAGGCAGGGGCTGGAGGTCCTCCCCCGCCCGACTGCTCATTGCATCTCGAATCCAGCACGCAAGCGCACTGCACCGACTGCCCGAACACCGCGAGCCCACATAAGTCCTGCGCCGGCGCACAGAGGCACGCGCCTTGTCCTATTTCGCAGGACACCGGGGGGGTCGTTCTCTCGCGCACGCGCACTCCAAACGGGAGGGGCGTGAAGGGGGTGGGGCTCTGGAGTCCTCTCGGGTGGCGCTTGAGTCTCGCGCTCTGCGTGAGAGGATTGACGCATGCGCAGTATTTTTCCAAGCGCGCGCGGCCGACTTGACAGGGCTTTTACGCTCATGCGTGGTGAGCACGTGCCTTTCGGCGCATGCGTAAGACGTCCTCCTGCAGGGGGCGGACCTCCCGGCACAAGCGTCACGCCGCCGCGTCCGCTGTTAGCTGGGGGCCGTCCGGCCGCGCAGTGCAATGTGGGAGTGATTAAGGAAGTAAAATGGCGGATCTGGCGAACGAAGGTACGGGGGGATGCAGTTGGGGGCGGGGATGCAGGCGGCGGCGGGGAGCTGGCGGGGGCTGCATGGGCGGCGGGGTTGTGCCGGGCTGCTCTAGCCCGGGTGCCGCTGGCCGAAGGCTGCTGGGCGTGGACCCGCCCTTGAGAGCTTCCCCCTCCCCGCGGCCTCGCCGAGCCCCGGCTCCTGTGGAGGGAGCGGCTGGACAAAGGAAGAAGAGCGACCCCCGTCCCCGCACCCCTTGGGCTAACTCTGCTTAGGCTTGGCTCTGCTGTTGCCCACCGTGAGGCGAGGCCAGCGGCCGGGGCGTGGGCCTGGCCCTGTACGGGGAGTACCCCCGGAGGGCCGGAGTGCCGGGTGTGGCAGTTGGCTGGGGGGATGGCCGAGAGATGAGACAGGCCTGGGGGAGGTGGAACATACACCTTTTCCGTCCTCTCTGCTGCCAGCCGGGTCATACGAACATTACAGCCAAGCGCAGTAAGATGCCTGGTTCCTTCCCTCCCCAGGTGTAGGTGCAGCAATCTCCAGTCTGTTACTTAACTGCAAATAATAATCTGTTAGGATGAATCTGTTCTATTTATAGATCACATACCTGTCTGCTTTCAGAAACTAAACAGGCGTGCATCTTTTGTTCACTAGAAATTAGTCTTGTTCATGGTGAAATGGAGTCAAAAAAGCAGGCGATTGCTTCTCATCTAGTTGTCCTCTTTACAAAAAATGTGCAAAATCACTTAAATTGCAGCAGAGGAGATTTAGATCAAATCTCAGGAGAAGAAAACAATCCTTATCTTCTCTAGCAAACTGCCTTACACAAGTCACAGAGCCTCTTTGGAGGTTCCCTAGAAGAGACTGGATAGGCATCTCTCATGGGTGGCTTTAGGAAAAGGAAATTCTGCCATATATGCAGAGAATTGGACTAGGTAAGCCACAAAATCCCCTGTAAGTGTGTGATTTTGATCTCTCTTCTCTCTTGCCAGGTCGTCATTAAGTGCCTTTTCATACTGTCTCCCTTTCCTTGCTGTTTGGGGAGCAAGCTGTCAAGCTACTGTCTCTTGATATGTCTATAGCAGTGCTTTAAAATCCCCATTTGGCTCCTGTTGGTGACAGTGCTGTCCCCAATTACCTCTAATAATGTGAGAAGAAATATACCCTGTTGAATTAGGGAAAACATAAGAAATCTTTTCATTAAGTTTTAAGCTTATGTAAGTAAAAGAATTGGGTGTACATCTTCCTCTCCAATTTTTTGGGAAGCATGTGCATGCATTAGTGTACATAACCAGGATGAAATGTATAGAAAAATGTGTCATAACTTAAATATAATTTGGTGCCATTTTGCCTAAGGTAAGCCTGTACAATTTCTGCTAAAGTTGGCCTAGAAGATGAAATTATTTAAGGATGGTGTGGGGGTTTGCCTACCTTTGTATGGAGCATGGTCTTCATCTGGGTTCCTAGGCACTTGTTGCAGTGACAGGGCCTTGATAGTGTCCTTGTGTCTCCTGCTTTTTAAGTCTGTCACGCTGTAGGTGGTTTTCATTATTTTGGTTTTGTGCCTTATAGATGTGATGGGAGGGTGTGGAGGGGGAATGATTTTAGGAATTTAGGGTTCAGTAGTTGCCTCCAAATACAAGGGCCTGGATTTGATGGCCTGGAGGCCTGTTTCAATCCAAAGTTCCTACTCCATTTTGCATTATTTCCCATCATCTCCTTGGCCCCTCTGTCCTTCAGTTCACTTTACCATACGAGCATGTTCTGGCCTTTCATTTAAATTCCCTGATTCCCACTTTCTTCTCTGTTTGAAATTTAGAGCTCGTGTTAATCTCTGGTTTCATCCAAGACCTACAAATTAACTTCTTCCCCTTATTCTGCTGAAACTATTTTTGGACTAACTTCATTCCAGCTAAATCTCAAACATGACTTTACCCCCTTCTTAACCTGTCAGCAATTACAAGGCAGTTGATCTCTCTCTCTCTCACTCTCAGCTCCATTGACTTCTATCTCCCTGATATTTGCCTCATTTTCCTGCTATACTAATTGCTTCTTCAGCATGTCCTTTGAAAACTTGCTTCAGTTGCCCTCCAGCTTTCCACTTACATTGCCTTTGTCCTTGTTCCCTTTTCCTCTCTGCCTCTGTATATGGACTCTGGGTAGCATTATCTTGTAAACAGAAATTTGCACGCAGTTTCTATGCTGATGACTCCCAGTTTAAGACTAATTCCCTTCTTTCCAAATTAAAATCTTGGTCTGCCTTGCTAACCTTTCCCTTTTTGGATACCTGTTTGTTCAATATTGCTAAATGCAAGCACCTTAATCTCCCTACTTGGTCTACAGTACCTTTTTCTCAGTCACTGTAAGGAACAACACTGTCACACCTGTCACTCAAACCTGTAATGTAAGTGTTTTCACTGACAAAAACCTTTCGAGGTAAACACATCCTTGCTATATCTACAGTCATCACAGTATGTCTATGTTATGATACCTTATTCTCCAAGTCAAGCAATATGCTGGTGAGGCTTCTCTTGCCTCAGAAAACAAGATCTTAAGCAGCTGCTAAGGATGAACCTGGAGAGCCATTATTAGTCCATTTCTGGGTTTGGAGCGTGTGAATAAGCAGTGGGGGACAAAGGAAAAGCTTAAAGAGCATTCTGGTTATGAGAATCCAAACCTTTGGGGTTCTGTTATGAGAGACTGCAGTCTTCATATATCCCTGGCCCTGAGGGCAATTTCAGTCTTGTGCTGCCCATATATATTCTGTATACTACAAAGTTTATTCTTTTGTCCTCTTGCTTTGACCATGATGTGTCTCTGAATCCTTCTAGTGCAGGAGTGGGCAAAATATGGGGCTTTGTCCAGCCTGTGGTGGGTCTCCTTGGTCCCTCTTGGCCTAGGCACTGCCTGGCTGTGGCATGTTCTGCCCCCTGGGCATGCAGCGGGGCTGGGGTGGGTCTGCAGCTGGACTGCCTTTGTAAACAGTCCAGGCAGCGGCAGCTCCTTCTGGCTGGTGCCCGCGCTGGTCCCAGGTCTGTGGTAGTGCAGCCCTGAACTGGCATGCCTTGTGCTTGCGCCAGACTCACCTGTCCAGGCTCAGCAGCAGTGGCAGCTGCTGGGCAGGAACTGTTGGTTGTGGCAGGGGGAAAATGGCCCCTCCCTCTCACCACTGCTGGGCAGTTCTTGGTGTAGCCACTCCGAGCCTGTGCTGTGCCAGGCTGCCCTCTGGCTGCTCTGCACTGACACTGCTGCTACACTGGGCAGCCCAGAGTGATGGTAGTGGAACTGCAGGGCAGCCTGGCATGGCACGGGCTCTGGATGTCTGCACCAAGAACTACCCGGCAGCGGTGAGAGGGAGGGGCTGCTGAGCCTGAACGGGTGAGTCTGGAGCAGGCATGGGGCATTCTGGGTTGGGTCTGTGTGTGTGGGTCCCTGCTGGTATTGTGGGGCTGGGGTCAACAGCCAGGGCAGCCAGAAAGAGCTGCCCCAGCCCCGCTGCGTGGCCAAGGGGCAGCAGGATTTGCCATGTCTGGGCAGTGCAGAGGAGGTGGAGGTATGGGGTGGCCTGGGGCTATATGCTGTTGGTAGTGGCAGGGAGGTACTGCAAGGTATGTGGGCTTCAGGCTGTTGCAGGGCAGGGGCAAGTGCTGATCTGCTCGTGGGGGGCACATGCGGAGGGGCTCCCATGCAACCACATCCTCCCCAACATACAGTCACACGCACCTAACCCCCTACAAACCCCACATCCCCACACACATCTGTGTGCCTCTGGGGGGAGCCCCGCTCACTGCTACATGCACTTATCCCACCACACACGCACCCACAAACACCCCCAGCCTCCTGCCCTCTCCCCTGCAGCCCCCCAAACCTCATACCCACCCATGTCCACACATCCCTTTACACTCTCCCCCATACCCCACAACGCATGCACACAGCCCCCCACAATGCTTCCATCATTCATGTTCTTCAGTTTCCTCCTTAAGCTCATTTCTTTTAGATGAGCATGGATTTGTAGATATTTATCAAGCAACATGCTCCATAATTATTGTCAGATGCTTCAGGTAGGCTTTTTTGGCAAAAATGTGGAACACTAGTTTTTAAAGTTAATAACGGTCTTGTTTCAATTTTTTCAGTGGTTTTTTTTTTTTCCTTGTTTTCTTTTTTTAATGTAGGACTTGACCTACCTTAAAGTTATCTGATATTTTTTTCTTTTTGGGTAGGGGAGGGGAGCTGTTAGAATAATGAATGTTCTGAAATCTATATTTGTTTACAAAAGAATCCTCAAATACTTCATTATTTTATTATTCAGATATTTAAGAGACAACTTTTGTAGGACTTAACACCAGCATTTTATTTTTTTTTCATGCCGAGTTTTTACCAGTTAACTCTAAAGTGAAGTCAGACTGAATACTTCTGTTTTTGGAGATGCACTAATAACCCAGCCTGGCATTCCATGAAGACATGTTCTGTTTACAAGCATGAGATTCCTTAAATATTTGCAAGTATTTCTAGGGTCTCTTTAAAGAACACTTTCAAATTGCTATTTTGTCTAACTTGTTTACTGTACTTTAAAAAAGAAAGTAACAGTGACCATAGTTTCCCCTTTTTTCTCACCCTTTATCTGCTGAAAATAAACCTTCTTTTTCCCTCCTGTCTTGTCACATTTGTTTCCTTTGAAGTACCTGTGTCTTGAGTGGAAAACATGATTCCTTTCTATTTGTTAGTGATGAAAGGGCACAGAAGCTGAAGGTGCTAGTTTCCATTAGCAAGATAACCTATTATATCCTTGCATGTGGATATTAGAACTGTAGTTCTCTTTCTCTTTTTATGTTTTAAAAAAAATGTCTTTATGTTCAGTAGCCCAAGGGGAATATGTAGAGGATGAAAGACATGCAAAGAACTACCAGTCTTTCTTTCTAAGATGTTGCCTAAACAGTGCTTAAACTACGTAGAAATATGTATGGAAGAAGTCCAGGCTTAAGGGTTCCATCAGTGACTTCATCACTTACACTTTGAAAAGT